CTTGTGTCTTGCTGCTAGGCCACTGTGTGAGCGAGGGTGAGGCAAGTCTGGGCATACTGAAGTGGCAAGACCTATAGGTGGCAGCACCCGCATGGCCCCCGAAATATGAACTAAGCTGGAGACAGCAAGGACTGTCTGTGGCGTACAGGTGTCTAAAACAGAAAGGGGGGACGACAGGAGTTGCAGAGATGGGACACAGCAACGAGGGGTCACAGTTGGAAGCTGAAGACTGATGAACCACAGGGATGTTATGAAGTATTTCTTCAGTCACATTTGTCAGGAAGTGGAATAGCCTGGGTAGTGGAGGCAGGATCCCTTTCATAGCTTTAAGAAAGGTATGAGAAACTCACGGGGGGGAATTGTGACCGAAATAGCAGCCAGGCGGGGCCAGGAGTTGTGATCCGCCCCCTGCAACCACAACTAAGCGAGCACACACACTAACAATTTCTGAGAATAAAGCAATACTCTAAGGAGAAAAAATCGGCCCGTCAAACCTATTTTCAAGAAACTGTGGGACAGAAACGTGCAAACGAAACCGTGGATAAACCACTTATCACATACCGGAGCATGTTCCTCGACTGCGACAGAACGAGGACTAAATGACAACAGCTGACGAGGACACAGACTAAGAGCATGAAAGACACACAAGGCTAGAGTTCATAGAGAACAACTAGAGTCGAGTGGAGTACACAAACACCCACAGAATCACCCTTGGCCTTGCAGGACAACACCCCCCTCCACATTCATAACCCCCATCCCATAATACCCCACAAACCCTCAGAATACAGTGTTGGAGAGGAAATAAGGTGTTACACCAACGTTGTTGGTATAAAGAATAAGTGGAAGAAATGGTACGGAAAAATCAGACGTAACCAGACATAGCCCTCACAGAAAGTTCAGGAATGAAAAATGCAATCTTTCCCACTGGATATCATATCCTGAGGAAAGACAGGAACACGGAGGTGGAGGAGTGGCACCTGCCATCAAAAACCAATGGGACTTTGAAGAGTTGGAGAGAGGGTACAGAAGCACGCTTCAGACTTGAGGTCTCAAGGTGGTGATAGTGACATAACCCACCAACGAATAGCAGGAGTCCAAGACAAGAATATGATCAGAGTAACAGATGGTTGACACCGGCTTAAGTGGCCAGAACGGGCCCATGTGGCCAGGACAAAGCTAGTGGTCGTTGGTGACTCCCAACACAAAGGAATCTACTGGGAAAACCTGGAGCCACATGGAGGCCCAGAAATGTGGAGGGGTAAGATGGTGGTACTGGAAAACCTTGTGCATCAACACGTTAGGGACACTACCAGAGAAGGCAGAGGACGAACCAGCATGACGTGTCCTAGTATTCACCCTGAGCAGTGCAGATATTGAGGACATCGCATACGAAAGGCCCCCTCAGAGCTAGTGATCACTTTGTTCTAAGCTTCGAATATACAAAGTCACAAGTGTAGAGGGAGGCAGAAACATCAGGAAGAATGAAGCGTAACTACAAGTGAGGGGAACTATACAGGCAGGATGATTTTCCTGAGCGATGTCTAGTGGGACAGAACTAGCAGGGAAACCAGTAAATGAGGCGATGGAACGTGTGACAATATGCATGGAGGCAGAGCAAAGGTTTGTACCCAAGGGCAAGACAATGAAAAGGGCCAGGAAGAGCCCTTGGTTCACTCAAAGGTGGAGAGATGCTTAAACCAAGTACGTTAGAGAATGGAAGAACTGGAGAAGGAAAAGGTCCCAGGAGAACAAGGGAAAAGAATTCGAGGAGCAAAAAATGAATATGCACAGCTAAGGAGAGGCCTAGCAACAATACGAAAATGACAGCGAAAGCCAAGTTCCGCCCCACGCTGAGGAAGGGAGGGGAGTTTTTTGTAAACTACCTTGATGTGATGCGCTCAATACAAGATTCAGACTAGGATTCACAGAGACAAAGGACTGCGGAATTACGGAGAGGTGAGGTACACTAACAATTATAGGACACGATGCATACAACCGAAGAGGTCGTGAGAGTGCTAAGCAAACTAGATATCGCATAGGCGATGGGACCGGATAACATCTCTGTGGGTCCTGAGAGAGTAGCTGAGGAGCTGTGTATACTTCTAACAATCTTCAGCGCATCTATAGAAAGAGGGCGACTAAGCGAGGTATGAAAGACAGCTAATGTAGTCCCAATTTTTAAAAAAGGAGAGACGCAGGATTAAACTTCAGACCAATGTCACTGACATGCATGTAAAGTCATGAAGGATATTTTAAGAAAACCCGTGGACCACATAGAAAGGAAAGTTTACAAACGACAACCAGTACGGATTCAGAGATGGGAAATCCTTCGTCCCGAGCCTACTTGAGTACTTTGGGAAGGTGACAGCAGTAAGACAAGAGACGGAGTGGGTAGACTGCATTTTCTTGGACTGCAATAGACTGGTGCAAAAGCTGGAGGACCAGGCAGGTATAACAGGGAAGGCACAGCTATGGATCAGAGAATATCTGACGGGAAGGGATTAGCGAGTCATGATACGTGATGAAGTGTCGGAGTGGACGCCCGTGAAGAGCGGGGTTCCACAGGGGTTAATCCTAGGACCAGGGCTGTTTCTGATATATGTGAACGACATGACAGAAGGAATAGACTTAGAAGAGCCCCTGTTTAAAGACGATGTTAAGTTAACGAGGATAATTCAGTCTGCGGAGGACAAGAGAGCTTATGGAGGGATCTGGACAGGCTGCAGGCCTCGTCCAGCAACTGGCTAATGGAATTCAACCCACTAAGTGCAAATTCATGAAGATCTGTGATGGGCAAAGAAGACTGTGGACAGTACAGTCAAGAGGATCAAAGACCACAAGCCCTCACTCGAGGAAAAGGATCGTGGAGTGTGCATAATACCGAGCATATCTCCTGAGGCTCACATCAACAAAACTCTCTGCAGCATATGGGAGACAAGCGAACCTATGAACAGCATTCCGGCATCACAGTAAGGAGTCGTTCCGCATCCTGTACACCGTGTACGTCAGGCCCATATTGGATTACCAGTTCCACTCGAACCCACACCTGGTCAAACACGTCAGTTAGTTGAGGAAGTGCAAAGGTTTGCAACGAGACTACTCCCAGAGCTAAGGGGCATGTCCTACGAGGACAGGTTAAGGGAAGTCGACCTGACGACACTGGAGAACAGGAGGGATATGATAAAGACGTATAAAATACTGAAAAAAATCGACATGGTAGACAGACAGGATGTTCCAGAGATGGGACACAGCAACAAGGAGTCAACTGGAAATCGGAGACTGAAAGAAGCCACTAGGATGTTAGGGAGCATTTCTTCATTGTGTTGTTAAGCAGTGGAATAGTCTGAAAAGTGAGAGTGGAGGCAGGCACCGTACGCAGCTGTAAGAAGTATGATAATCCTCATGGACAAGGAAGAAAGTGGACTTAGTGGCGATCAGTGAAGAGGCAGGGCCAGGAGCTATGACTGAACCCCTGCAACCACATTTAGGGGAGTACACAAACAAGTTATAATGACTGCATAAATATTCGGAGTAGGGGGGGGGGGGGAAGTGACACATGGCGACCTGAAGAATGCCATATTGGGATGAGGACAGTTAAACAATAAAGGTCACGTGACTTTTGTGTTAAGTGGTGCTTTGACTGGTTGAGTGATTTATAACAATACTTTTGAAATTTTGTGGTTTCCAGCATTAGTTTTAAGGTGTCTTACGGCTATTTGCGAGGCTTTCCGTCATCGTCGGCGTTTAAGATCTTGTTTGGTAAAAATGAGCTGTGGCTCATTCCAAATCATCGAAAGTCCCGTGGAGTCCCTGCGGAGGAGACAGGCCGCTGTCAAAGTTACACGTGTGGCGCTACGTTTCATTGTGAGGAGAGCCTGGATATTGAGACGTTTCATTACCCAGGACCCTCAAGATCAATGCTGGCGAGCCAGCAAAGTTTACACTGGAACTCGAGTAATATGGCAAACTTTCCTCTATGTCCTCCTGTACAGACTTCCCGACATTGAAAAAAAAAAAAAAAAAAAAAACCTGCAAGTATGTAGAAAACCTACCAACAAGGACCATCTCTCACACTATTCGCACCAAGACACTCGCACTAAAAGGGGTGCCTTCATTGGCTTCTCGAGATCTCTTCGCATTAACAGCCCTTATTTGACTCACGAAGTCGTAATGACACGATTGCAAACAAACCATACGGGCGGGTTCTATCCCCGCCCGTATGGGCGGAGATTTCACGAGTCATGTTGACGGCTTTGAGGGGACTTGAGCTAGAGTTCGTCACGGCCACGCTAGCTGGAGATTCGTCTGTAAAAACTTGTATTTGTGGTCACAGTGGTGCCTATGCTAACCTTCCTACGGTGTAGAAATATACCTAGTTGGACGAATCTTATTGTGGCTACCTGGTCCAGTGGCTAACGCGACGGTCAGGAGTTTGAGACTCTGATCGCCGGTTCTATCTCCGCCCGGGATATGGTTTGATAGCCCTTATTTCCTAGAAGAGGAATGCATCTACACAACATGCCTTCACACATCTTCAGTTTCCACGTTTCTTCACCCGGGATGGCAAAAATACAAGCTGTCCTCAAATATCCCATTGAACAGTCTTCTAAGCAGTTGATAATACTCCCATGTCGTGATGTTGCCAGGAATACTCTCCGGGTACTTCTAAGGAGCAAAATAAAGGTTTCCACCTTAAACCACATCAAAGACCTCACTATGAATCATGGCTCCACACTAACACAACTTGTCTACCTCTTTTCCTATGGATACTGTCCCAAGAAATGTATACGAGGAAACAGGAAGAAATCTTTCGGTCCTCTTGAGCATCGAAACGCCAGTAACAGACAACTTTGCCCTGTACGGGAACTCCTTGAGACACTTGATGAAATGGAATGAGGCACAGCTCGTCCTCGCCAAACAAGACAAAGCCGTGTCAAGTCTATTTAGACCCAAGGCTTCTAATGTTACTCTTACCAAACTAAGTATAAAGTTAAACTAAGTTTCGCAGGTAAAGTTTAATAGAGATTAAAAGTTATTAAAAAACTTGCATAGTATCACAGATTCATGATTCAGATCTGCTGCTGCGCCATTTCACCAACTCTGCAATGTTAAAGCAGTCACTTTAGTTGAGATCATTAAAGGTTTAAATTTTAAATCAGTATTGCAAATTCATAAAAATTCATGAAGTAATTATTTTTTTTTAAATGCTCACCAACAGATTTTTCGTTCAGTAATGAAACCCAGTCTTCCACACGAGAACTCTACACAAGAGTTTGATGGATCAAGCCACTTTTCACCTAATTTTCGTTGGGTGCCAATATGATCAAAACATTCTTCATCCAGAATTACCGGAGACAACGTTGTAGCATTCGTACTGCAACGTTGAAATTTTCAGTGAATATTTGTGTAACTGCCAAGTATCCAATTAACATACATGATTATTACAAGTTATAAACATGCTGGAGAGTTAATATACAGGGTGTTCACAAAATCCTCCTTTGGCGTTTTACATTTAAATGGCAAATTTAGACATTTCAGTTACGTGCATGTTATAATGGAGGAGTTTTCTTAACCTGTACACTGTGGCTCTTTATTATAATTATACTCTGGCGAGACTGTCATCATTGTTTCTAGTATTATTTTAATGTCATCTACTGATATCTGCAAAACTACCACAGAAAACCCATCTGCAAAAGTATCATTCAGAAAATGGTATCTTACAAAGCGAATTTCTTTATCAAATCTTTCCACATTTGTTTAGCAAATCTTGGAGAACTTAAGATTACTTAGTGATCACCCTTTGCATGCATGAGGAAGGACTGACCAATATTTAATAACATAATAAAGAGCTTATGGAATGGTAAGAAGTTATTAGATTAAAAGAGGTTGTTTTATATACGAAGCCTTTGCCCTTTAACCTTATATAATTTTTAAGTTTTATGCACTAGAAACATTTAACTCTACATTTAAATTCTGTTTTTGCAGGAATTAAATCGCAAAATACATATCTTGAACTATAACTATTAATTATCATTGTAGGCCGTTTTAGGAGAGGATATTTTACACCATATATGGCACAGACTGAATTCTTAGCCATGCGAACTTAGTGGTCAGAGTAATAACCCTCCCAGAGGAGACCCATACCTATAGGTACAAGCCAAGCTGCCACCACGCAACTGACCCAGTTGCGTGGTGGCAGCTTGGGGAAGGGTACCTCTAAGTGCATTTTCACCAAAGTCAACGCTCTCCATCTAAGGGCATTGAGTATGACGAGCTTACTTACGGGGAGTCACAGTAGTTAGGACAACACTGTCCAGGAAGTTTAGGAGGGACACATTGCCAGCTGGGTGGTGGAGCACATATCAGATTCGTACATTTCACTGTACCACCATCGCACGAACAATTTATGCAGGGATCCTTTGGGTCTTTCCAGCTTTCACCCTCTACACGAAGAATTCCTTCTTCGTCTTTGCATATTCTATATAGAGCGTTACTCATGTTATATTCATTTCTTTATGACTCACGAAATAGTAATGACACGATGGCAAACAAACCATACCACGGCTAGCGGGAGATTCGTCTGTAAAAACTAACATTTGTGATCACAGTGGTGCCTATGCAAACCTTCCTATGGTGTAGAAATATACCTAGTCAGATAAATCTTATTGAAACTAGCTGGCCCAGTGGCTAACGCGACGGTCTGGAGTTTTGAGAGTGACCGCGGGTTCAAATCCCACCCGTGGTATGGTTCATTTCTTGAAGCTACTACACCTTGTGGCTTCCTTGTGTTTGGTAATGAGAAAAACTACTGTACAAGCGCTCTGGATAAAGATTTTGGAAGGTAAGTAATTATGAAATCTACAAAACTGCCCACATACTTTGTATCCAAGAATCTAATGGTTTAATATCAGTAGTGATAAATGGGTACAAATGGGTCACTTAATTTAACACAAAGTAAAACTAAAGAAATTTACTTTCCAGTCTGAGGATCGCAGGAGTTGGGACAGCACTTTTCATTCACGTGTGGAGGATCACATAGCCAAGGCGGTGGCGAGGCACAGTCTGGCAGCACACAGGTCACAGAACCGTCTATGCAAGAACATTGCTTGCAAAGATTTAATGGATCATGCCAAGTATCACCCTCCATTCTCCGCACACTTTGTTCATCCAAACAGTTGCTGTAAATAAACCGAGATATTTAACAAGGTTAACTATACAAATGTAAACTAAGAAGCCTTTAAAAAAAATCGCCGATCTGTTGACGTTAGGAATCTTAAGAATTCAAGTCTAAAGTAGTGCAAAATATTCCAGTAATATACATTCAAGGCATTCGGTCTATTTGTCACCTGCATTCCCATCGAGGACAACATTCTTCTGGAGCAGTATATTGTCGACAGCTTTTGTCTGGGGCAGAACCTAAGTAGCAAATCTTCTTTCTCTTTAATATTCCACTTTTAGTACACACGTGTGTGACACAAGGATCAACTTTCCACTCATCACCCACTTGATGTAAAACACCACTGTCCACACAGCCACTAAAGAAAAAAAAGGTATTAAAATATTTCCTTCACGAAATATTCAGTCATTAACTATATTTCAAAATACTTACCTGCAGTTCCACTTAGAACAGCACTCCTCCTCTGGGGTGTATTCAGAACAACTGGGATGGGGAGGGAGAGTCTTGCTGCAAACCTCTTCACTTATTTTTATTCCAAGTTCGGTGCAAATGGAGGTATTGCAGTTATCGTTCTTCCACTCACTCCCCAGTAAATGATACTTCCCCAGATCATCGAAACATCCCCTGCAGTGTGAAATAAACTAATTTTTATATACATGTATATCAGATGGAAGCTGAAGCTTTAATACAGTAGCATAAAAAAATAAGAAATTTTAAGTAGATTAATAACAAAAAGCCTTCCTTTCATGTCTAGTAGTTAGTTTTACCCTTATTTCACAGATTTACAGACCACAAACTGCGATTACCTCTTCAACCAAATTACCCTTCAACCAAATTACCCTTCAAAGTAAAATTTAAGTGGTACACTGGAGAATTACCTGCATTTCCAGATAGGACAACATGCCAGAGGTGGTGTCGTTGCATTGCAGTCAGGACCAGGGGCGCCTCCACACTTCACCAACCTGCAGTCTTGTCTGAGGGGTTGAAACTATCTAATTAAGATTTTTATTAGACTGACAAATGTCCCTTGGTAATTTCATACTCAGATCGATAATTTAAGAACTGTAAAATATTATTCAAAACGCTAGAGAACAAGTTTCATTGACAAGTTACCAACCCACAGTTCCATTTGGAACAACAGGCTCCTGGTAGTGGCGGCAGTTCTATGCAGTTGGGATGGGGTTTTTCAATGCAAGTTACCACAGTAGTTCTAATACCCTTTAGGGTACACTCGTGAGCAATGCATTCGTTTGTTGACCATTTCTGATGCAACTCATAGTATTTACCAAACTTATCAGTACATCCACTGCAAAAAAAAAAAAAAAAAAAAAAAAAAAAAAAATTTAGATTCTACCAAGTTAAAGTTACTCTATATGTCATGAGCTTAATTTAAAAGATATGAAAAACAGTGTTTTTCTACTTGCATTAATCAGAAAAAGTATACGATTTATATAACCAAAGACATCTAGCCTGTACCTGCAGTTCCACTTGGGGCAGCAATCTCCATTTTTAATGTACTTTCTGCATGAAGGACCAGGAGAAGGACCAAGAGTACAGTTTTCCTTGGTGACCTGTATGCCAGTGTTGGTACAGGTAAGTGTAGTGCAAGGATCAGATTTCCATATATGATGTAAGGGATGGTAGGCTCCATCCTGTACACAACCGCTGGGAAAACAAACATTAAACTGCAATATATAATCATAAAATTTATCAAGTACCTCAAGACAGCCTTCTCCAGAACGAAGAAAAAACATTGTTCACTTACTCCTTGACCAGTGTTTTATTCCAGACCCGCTGAAGGTAGATACAAAATCTATATTTGGTAAGAATAAATTAATGCTGTCAACTCTATACTTTAAAAAAAAATTGTTTTGTTTAAGTATTCTTACAGTTTGCGTAAATCAAACTGTATGGAATGTGTATCCGTTTCAGACATTACAGGTACTAAAATTGTGTAAAGCAATATTTTAATAACATGAGCGATAATAAATGAAGGTCAAAGTATATATTTTACCATTTTTGCCAAGTCATTAGAAGTAAGATGAGCTTTCATGTCAATATAAAATTTTAACAATACCATATAATTAAATGTTAATGTTAGTGAAACCTTATAAACCAATTTCTTATCAGGACTAACGAACACAAAGTTGCGAGTTATTTAACCTTAAGCTGCAATCAAATCTTCAATTTAAAAGACCACTTTTCCTATGAAATTTCATTTCAGATTGAAGTGGTAAACATTGTAAAGCTCAGAGCATAAAAATATTTGTATTGTTTACCACGTTCACACTATCTAAATTCTTAACCTGAAAAAATATCAATTCTCAATTAAGCCTGCCTCAATAGTAAGCAAATTATTAGAAGCAATAATAAATATAAAACATCTTGGCGAGCATAATTTGAATAACAAGTCTCAACAGGAGTTCATCTGGGGCCGTTCTTGCCTGAAACATTTACTAATCCCAGATGCCAACCGAAGTGGAATTATTACATCAAAACTAAGCACCGAACCCACGAGGGCCACTGTACTGCAGGGCAGATATGTTAGATTTAATATGCGAAGAACGGACCAGCGAGGATTAGGAGTTAGAGTAAGAGTAGCAACGAGCGCTAAAGAGAAGACAAAATCAAAGTTGGTGTAATAAAGCAGTCACAAAAGGTCAAAGAGGAAGACTGCATCAAAGGTGGGGCTGTCGGCAAGGAGACAAGATAAACTAATTGCGTTACAGGGGAGACTACGCCAGTGGTAAATCCTGCGTGTCTGCTGATAGACGGGACAGTATTAACAGATATTGAACTAACAACCCGTGACAATTCTTATAGCGATGAGCGCTTCTCCAAGATATACCCAGGAGTGAGACGAGTGTCCGATATGGAGGCGGGAAATAGTCGTCCTCTCTACACGGCATGTATGATAAAACCAGAAACCCCCCCCCAAAAAATTAGTTTTACCGAAGGCAATTTGATGAATAAACTCATCACTTCCGTTGCCAAGAGTTGCAATGCTTAGAGATTTCTGCAAAGATAATCGGAAAAATTTAATACCCCTATAGCAGAGGCGTCGCTAGGGTTGGTGTCGCCCGGGGCGGAATCTTTGGTGTCACCCCCATGAAATCCAAGGGCGGGGGGATGGGGGGGAGTAAACTCCAGTTACATCACTGCTGCATGACCAGTGACTAATGTTTAGCAATGAGAACGTTTAAAGGCCATAAAGCAAAGTTTATTAATGATAAAATAATCGTACTAATACTGAGGAAAAAACTAAAATACCACCTTGAGTATAGGCAACAGATCCTACATTTATTCAACAATGAAAAGAAAAAACTTGGAAAAAAAAAGAAAAAACTAATTCCGATTTAACCTTGAGCACAGGTAACATCTCAAAGAATCTGATGATATTTCATTTCCTTGCCTTCAATCCTGCAAAATCATCCATCCCATCAAAATCAATAATTTTCTATGTATAGGCCTATTTGTACTCTAATCCTATAATAGGCTATATAGAAACGAAGGATTTTTCTTAGGTCGCTGAATCATGGTTTTGGTCATTAGTGTTACCTTCTTCAGAGGCACAATGGTGTCACCCCATAAATGGGGTCACCTGGGGCGCCCTACCCCCTTACGACGCCCCTGCCTATATGAATCCGCCTGCTCGTTGCTCCGAACCTCCACGTGTCCAGGGACCCAGCAGAACTCATTTTCTAGAAATGTGGCGCAACCAAAGTTATATATGAATAATTAGGGAAATAAAATTTTAGGATGGCCTGCAAAGCACTAAGGGAGTCAAACTACAAGAACGTCGAAGTACGCAGAGTATGTATATGAGCGATGAGAATCTCGTCCAGTTTGGCTGTGAAGATGCTAGCCTAGTCTCAAATGACCTCGTAAAACATGATCCAGAAACACTACTGCCAACTCGACACTCAAGATTTATCTAATACTCGTGCAATGGCACGAGTACAAGCTTGAAAGTAGTCAAGAGAAAGGGAGAGACGCTACAGAAGATAAACCAGCATTCGTGCACGGAAGTGGGGAAGAAAATCCACGACTCGTCGGAACTGCCCATGGAGAAGAGAAAAGATGCAATGACGAACATGACGCGGATGAAAAGAGAAGCCAAGAGTGTGAATACAAAGAAAAGGGTCGGAGTTAAAATGGTTGGAGTAAAAAGGACCATTATTAACGTCTGTCACCATCCTGTACTTAGAAGGATCATGAAGGTCATAAAAGTGGACAAAATATCGGAGACAACGGGTATCACATCGATCGTGCAGTGATGGAATATTCACCTCTACATATATTACAATAAAAAAGAAGAGCTAAACCTATTAGGGTCATACAGCGTTGCGCCTCTGCATAGAAGCTCTTAACCTGGAGGAACGAAAAGCGCCATGACAAACACAATCCCTGTCTAGGCAGAGACTGGTGCACCGTGTAACTAATTTCGATTAGAGAAATACTTATTGCTTAAATAACATACTAACCTGCAATTCCATACTGGACAACATTCACCTTCTGGTATGTATTTGCGGCAGTTGGGATGTGGCGGGTTCAAGTCTGTACAGTTCGTGAGTTTCATGGTTATTCCTGCCTGTTCACAGACTAATTTTAAGCACGGATAGTGTGTGTTCCATTCATGACCAATTTCATGATAGTTTCCAGTGTTGTCAAAACATCCCCTATAAAGATAAGTGCATTTTAATTAACTTCAAAAATTATACAAGACAATTCAGAATAGTTATAACATTTCCATGTTTTTTCCCCCATGTTGAGTAAATGTTAACGTATATCTAGTGGTGACATCTAAAGCTTGGAGATCATGTATACATTATTTTATATAATAAAAGATTCTAAATCTGTGAACATTACTAAATGCATGAAATTCATTTTCACAAACTGAGGTAGTAATAGCAATTTCTGCAATGCATATTCTGATATCAGTTATTAGTATCAAATTAAATTTTAGACACTAAACTTTTATTTTCCGTACAGTTAAAATGCATTAAGTTCAAATATTACAAACATTTATGCAATATAAAAAACGTATTCTGCCCAACAATAAATCGTTGCCAGTGTATTTATAGATTTTTCCAGGTAAAAATTAATGTAAATTTAATACTTCGAGAAATTTTCTTGCCTGCAATTCCACTGGGGGCAGCAGTCTCCTTCAGATATATTTTTCTGACAACTAGGATGGGGAGCAGGTCCCAGCTCACACACTTCCTCTGACGTCTGGATACCATTCCTCGTGCAGAAGTTTGTAGTACAAGAATCCCGTTTCCATACTTCATATAACGACCGATTTATACCAACTTCATCAACGCATCCACTAAAAATAAAAAAAAAATTAAGCATTTTTCAAAAAAATATTTACACAGATGCTAATTTTATATCATTAATTCCACTCGCCTGCAGTTCCATTTAGGACAACACTCTCCCACTGGTGTGTATTTAGAGCAGTCAGCACGTGGGGGGTGAATATCTTGACATTGAAGACGATTTAATGTTATACCATCTTCAGTACATTTGAAGAGAAAACATGGATTTTCTGTTCGCCATTCTTCGCCAATTTCATGGAAACTTCCAGAGTAATCAATACAGCCCCTAGAAAGAGGCGTTTTGCTATTTTCATTATGATAAATGTTTGGCATACATAGCATCAGAAGTTTAAACATCCTATATAAAAAAAACTTTTCGTGAGAATGAAGGGAGAATAACTTGTCAATTATTTTTTTATAAATGTTAAAAATTCGTGAAAAGGAAAAAAACTAGACCAGCTAATAAAACTCAGTGTAATTCAACCAAGCTAATATAAAAAAAAATCACATTTGCTATGTATGCCTAAGTTTTAAATTTTCTTAAAATAATTTTATGAAGATATTTCCCAACTGAGAACTTATAATCAAGTTGCTAAGTACACACACCTGCATCTCCATACAGGGCAACATTTATTAGGAAGAATGTGTTTTACACAGGTGTTGTGGGGTGCTGGAACCAGCTGACAGCTTTCTCGCGTTGTCTGTATTCCAGTCATCGTGCAAACCCTAGTAGTACAGTGGTCAATCTTCCATACTTCTAACACAGGATGATGCCCAGTGTGATCACTGCAACCGCTGCAAACAATCACTAGTAGTAAAAATGTTTATTTGTCAGAAAACAGTTATGGAGACTACTGCCAGAATAGGGCAGTGTACTTATGTATACGAGGCCTGCCGAAGTAATTAAAATGAGTGCAGGAATAGTGACGGATGCTCTAATGCCACTGGGAACAGTGTCGAAACATAATGGATGGCAGTGGCGAGTACCCTAAGATTGCTTCTGCGTACATTAGAGGGTGTGGTATTTACGAAGCAATTTCCCCGTATAGGTCACTCAGCGCTTGTACCAATTAAAAAAAAATCAGCTATAATCAAGAATAAACACGCATACGGATATCAATAAAAAACCTCTTAAATGTCAATAATCGCCATATATTTTTCCCCTCGATCCCTACTATCTTTCAGTAATTATAAAAGCCACGAAAGCACAATGACCAAAAACGGTCATACCTAAAATGTGTTGCAGTCAGCGGCTCGCCACAAACTTCACATGGACAGAACTTCCACGAGTATTTGACTGAGCAAGGTGTGAGCTTGGTCTTCAGACAGATTTATCTCAAGTACAGAGTACTGGAAGAGAGCAAAACACCCACACCTTTTAACGTTCTCCAAGCCTGTAGGGCCACCAAGCTCTCCACTTTCCAACGAAATGAGAGTAGGAGCCCATAAAGTCACTAAACAGCGAGCAGAGTAGGCAAGACAGCAAGCTATGCACCTTGAAACAGTGCCAAAGCTGGGCTGCTTCGGGAAGGACGGGGCCAAAGATTCTTAATAAACTTGTCAAGAAAATGTTCTGATCAAGAATATTCGGCACAAAAACAAATTTAAAGAAAAAATATTACTTGACAAGTAAAAGATACCAAAAAATAAAATTCGTGAAATGAGTAATCTGACAATTCTCTCCAAATCATGTTAATCACCGACATTCAAGCACTCTTTAGAAATATACGAAATACCTGCGTTAAATCTGCATTGGTTATGCAGTACTTAAATGGAAAGACAAGATTTAAAGGATGGAAGAGCCCAGATTTGAAGAATCAAGGCCCTTACACAGCAACAGGTAATCTCCGCCTAATTTTCTTTTCAAGGAATACAAGCAGCAGCATTGCACACATTCTGACTTAAAAGCTCAGCCATTTTAAAAAAAGGTAAACACCGGTCACGTCCCATCGACTCGCGTAATGACAAATTACAAACAAACCATACGGGCAAGGAAGAACCCGCGATCAGTCATAAAGCTCCAGTCCGACGCGTTAGCCAGCTGGCTACAATAAGATTCATCCAACTGGGTATATTTATATACCATAGGAAGGTCTGCATAGGGACCACTGTGACCACAAATATATAATATGGAGAGCGAAGTAATGGGAGAAAGTTCCTCAATAAAGGGTACGATAAGGCTCTTGTAGCGAGAAATGTGTGGACGTAGTAGCGACTAGCGAAGAAACCGGGGCCACAAACAGCCGAGTACATGTATACACAGTATAGGAGAGGACATGCACACATAGGCGCACACGTATACACACGTCCACACACATACGTAATTATGTACAAATAAGATGAGAGCAGAGGATTACTTAAGGAATCACTACGTGGTAAGGTATTCTTGTCACTACTTAATACAAATACTACAGCAGTTGTCTGTACTGCAGACAAAATTCACTATACTTAATATCCTAAACCTTCAGATTGGAGCCACTAAAACGTTTAGTTCCATAACTTTTAACAATTTGCTCACTATTTCTTTATACATGTATGTTACACTTCTCATACACGTTCTGAAGTCCCAGAAACTACTTTTCTTCACTGATGCAACATGCTGGCTCGCACCTGTATAAGAATCCCTATCAGTGAACTCTCAGTCTACTTCCAACCTTATCCTGTTAAATCTTCTATTTCAATTAACCCTTTATTTATACACGACTTCATCTATCCTATCCTCTCTGAACTACCAAACCATCTCAGCTTATCTGTGCTCAAGATTTTCCATGCATACATTCAACTGAAGTTTTTATCTGCATTTGAACATTTACTTCAGATGAGATGGCTGAGTTTTCTAGGTTCCTTCCCATATCATTCAGTCGTCATATCTTATACACGAAAGTATTTAACTAATGATGGTACGAATCTTCCGGAGATAATGTATTTCCCAAATACGTTTCTGGAATTACCTGTTATACCTACTGCCACATCCATTCTAAAATATCATAATCTTTACTTCACCCACGTTTCTTCCCTCCACTTTAATATCTCCCTCACTGCTTCCACTTTTCTAACAAACCATCTCACCCGTCACAACCAACACCTTACTAACTCGCATGCTGTAAAAATGAATAGAGAACCTAAATCAAACAAACCTGCAGTTCCATTTTGGACAGCAAGATCCGGCTGGCAAGTACGTGGAACAACCTTCATGAGGTCTGCTGGTCAGTGCACACTCTACTCTCTGCTCCTTTATGCCATCTTCAGTACACACAAAGGAAATGCAGGGATCAGTTGTAGTCCACTCTTCTCCAGGGACGTGGTAATTTCCAGCAGGGTCAGTACAGCCACTAATTAGTAACAAGTTTAAATTTATTAAACTATGTAGAGACCATGATTTACTACTATCAAAGTCCATACAAAAATTATGTAAATAAATTTGGGTTGTCTTACCTACAATTCCACTGTGGACAACATTCGTTCTCTGGAGTGAATTTCAAACACATTGAATGAACCGGATCTGGTAGATAACATTCTTTAATGCTAGTTGTTATTCCAGTTTTTGTGCAAGTGTGGTAAAGACAGGGACAAGAGTACCACGAGCTGCCAAGATCGCGGTGCTGTCCAGACTCGTCAACACACCCACTAAAGTATCCAGATATACGTTAAGTTCTTGTAAAATCATACATTTGTTTAAATTTGAAACTGAGCTAAATAAGCCATTATATACATTCTGTAATTCATTCCCGTTATATGCGTTTAAGCCTCAGTTTTTAAGTCAATAGCTTATAAGGGATAAAGAACAATGTTTATCTACGCTAATGTAAAGTCACTGCTGCCATTACAATACTCTTTACAGAAAACTGACAATTTTAGGGCTGCGGTACTCACCTTGAACAGTTCCACTGAGGGCAGCATGGACCAGGAATTTCCGTACAGTATGAATGTGGTGGGGGTGGACAGGATACTGGCAGGTTATGACAATACACAGTAGAGTCTGTACATGTACAGGTTTGACACTCGTTTGGGTACCATGTTGCACCTTCCGTTTGAATCAGTCCAGTCTCGTCTACACATACCATGAAATCGTCACATGTCCCGTGATCTGTATGGAACCATGATTATTTTTTCTAATTACCGACTTGAGGGGATTTAGTGCTCACGTCAGTAAAACTGTACGAAAAGATTCAGTTGCTGCTCTACAGAAATTTTCGAGTGCCTTGCTACAATTCTTAGCCCCTTTTAAGGTTTTAATCTCCATCTCCTGGAACCCTTAAAGTAAGGATGAGCTATAGCATCCAGATCCCACAAGGGTGTTTAACATCTTTCCTGCCTCTAAAGGATTTGGAAGAACTGGCAAGCGTCTTTCACGCACCGCGGCCCAGAGGACATCTGTAGCTAAATATCCTCAAAAGCCCAGAGCAGTAGGTAAAACTACAGAAATGTAACAAGTTGGATACTCCTCTAAGAAACTTAAGAATTGAAGGTTTAAACTGAATAAGTAGCCGCTGAAATGTTACCGCATGGAAACCATGAACATAAGCTCAGACATGTATTTAGGGAGTTGGGCGATCTGAGAAAGGCATCCCTGAACTGCCTTCTACACTAATGATGGCAAGAAGAATGCAGGACGGTAACAGTACTATTGCAGCTATACGGAATATGAATGCGTGTACACGTGCATTTTGAATATGTAACAAAAACTTGTATATATGCATACTTTTGCTTATTTAAGAATAAGTACATTGGTGCATTATACATTTATTATATATATATTATATTTTATATATATATATATATATATATATATATATATATATATATATATATATATATATATATACATACACACACACACACACACACACACACACACACACACACACGCTTGTACCTAATTTTGACCGATACGGATTCATTCCTATTTTTAAGATTGTGAGGACTGTTCAGTATACAATGGAAGGCTTACTGCAGTTTATGTTAACACAGGAAGGTTAAATATTAATCAAGTTAATTTGTTAAAGGACTCATTATTCATTACTAATATCATACACTCCCGTGAGGCTTAAAAACATGAAAAAATAAAAATTCTGAACATGTTCGTATATTAATTTATTAAAACAACCAAATTAATTACGAAAATTTTAATTAAGTTAGAGTTCCATCAGAAATTTTTTTTTTTTTTAACTGAAAAAACTTGCCTTATTATAATTAATTGTAGATGCTGAATTTCCAGTTAAGAACTTGAGCGACTCTTCTGCATTACGACACTGAATTAACCGACTTTCCCATTATATATTTTAAATTATCTAAATGTTGATGAGAAACAATGGAATAAATCATCTTAATGCCTGAAATAAAACAAATATACATTGCCCTAAAAGCTAAAATTAATAAAATTTCGGTTCCTGATCGATCTGAAAAGCGTTTCCCATTTTCTATTATCCCAGTCCCTTGTGACTGCATGTTTGTAATAGTGCCGAGTGCAGCAGAAGTTGATAATGCAGTAAAATATTAGCGTTAAAATTCTGAAAGAAATGGGAAGCGACATCCACAAGTCATAAGCTGATATCCAAATTTCAATAAAAATGTAATTTAGAAAAAACAAGGTTGAAATCAAATTCAAAACTTCCTAAGACCAACACTAAAATGCACAAGCACATTAAGCTTGAAGCGGGCTAACATGGAAAGCTTGAAACCAGTAATATAGGGCAGTATTTAATTTTTTCCATTTCAAGTTTCCTCCAGAAATTTAAACGGGTTGTCGCTGGATACAATCAGTCCAAACTAGCTTTAAAGTTTTATGCAAGCCTAGTGAACACAAAAATGTTAAAGAATGTCTTGAAAGCAGTCACGGACAACGTTCAACTTTTTTTTAACCTTTGATAATAAAGTAGTGAAAATGAATTACTTCTCCAGTTATTTCACACACACAAAAAAAAAAGTTTAATGTAACTGACAACTTTCACAGCCTAACATCAAAAGATTGAGGAAAACGCTGACTAGAAAAGAATTTTCTCAGTAATTACATGGAATCCAACAAAGTTTTCACTTACACAGCATTAACACAGCATTAACACAGCATTAACACAGCATTAACACAGCATTAACACATCAAACCTTCCATCCGTCTCAAACATCTTCCACTGAAGATTGATGCCATTCAGTATGGTTATACGTCTATATGAAGAAAGCGCTAAATCATTAGGGGGTCAGAACTCAAATTCGACTCGAGCAAAGGGAAAAAGCTGGTTCCTTGGATCAGGAGCCAATCACCAGCATCAAGGAGGAAAATGTAAAAAAGGTAAAATACTATTTCAAGGTTACATAACCTATCAGAATAGCATTTCTCCAGCAGTCACATAATGGTCTGTGCAGCAAAATAGTCCCTTGAATCTTTTCCAAGATATATTAAGTGCAATTCTTTAAAGCTGACTGAAGAATGCGTTCTCTAGTAATTAACAGAAAAAATTGTGAAAGCAAACGAAACTAGTCAATACTCAAGAGTTTCCTCTTGTTAAACTGAAGTCATAAAATAGCGGAGTTTTTTTTTTTCCCCTCAGTTGGCTTGCCATATTTAAAATTCTCAGCAATTCTGCAACTGATCAGAAAAAGTATTTTATGGTATTATTAATTATTATCAAAAAGAAGCGCTAAGCCACAAGGGCTATACAGCGCTGTGGGTGGGGAAGGAAGCATCGGGTGGCAGAAGGGGGGAGCGATGATTAGTAGGGAACAGAAAACAACTGGGCAGGGGATAGTGCATGGGTAGAGGGTAGCAAGAGATAGAGGTAGAAAGGGCTGAAGGTATCAGAGTTTGTGGAGTAAGTCAGTTGTCAAAAAGTCAATGAGAGTGTCCGGATGAAAGGTGGGTCCATCAGCGATAAGGGAAGGTAGAGAGAGAGCAGTGGGGCGAAGACGACGTTGGGGCTAAATTCTGCGTGCTCGTTGATAAAGTGGGCAGGCTAACAGAATGTGGCTGACCAATAATGGAACCTGGCAATTCTCTCAGAGGAGCAGGGCGCCTCTCCATGAGATATCCATGAGCAAGAGGAGTATGGCCAATGCGAAGGCAGGAGAGAGGAGTCTCCCAACCTCGACACTGGTGGCAAGAAGACGGCCAGTAACCTATACTCGGTTTAACGGAACAAAGTTTGTCGTTGAGCAGAGCAGACCAACGTTGTTGCCAACGGGTGTGAAGGTGGGTAGCTATTACAGCAAAATAGTCCGGTAATGGAACACCTCTATATGAAATTGGTAGGTCATGTACTGCTGACCGTGCAGCAGTGTGTGCCTGTTCATTGCCCTGTACGTTAACATGACCAGGGACCCCCCCCAAAAAAAAATATCTTTATGCTTGGTAGAGATACGGCATAGCCAAAGTTGGATGCGGAGAACTAGACTGAGCTGCATCAAATTTCCGTATAGCCTGTAGAGCACTAAAGGAGTGAGATAACCACAAATGATGACACAGGCATAGATGCGATACGAATAAGTGCTGCAAGAATGGCATACAATTCAGCAGTAAAAATGTTAGCCGAAGATAGTAAATGCCCTGGCACGACGCTGTCCGGAAACAATGCTGCAAATCCGACGCCGTCAGAAGATTTAGAGCCATCTGTGTACACTTCAGTGGCATGAGAAAGAGTGAAAGTGGTCAAGAAAAAGAGCGGGAAGCCGCCGTAGGCAGTTGGGCTTTTGAGCAAGGGAGTGAGAAAGAACAGACTCGAACAGCAGGAACTTCCCAGGGGGGTAGGAAAAAGGGAGATGCTACATGAACATATAAAGGCGGTAACTGAAGAGAAGACGAGCGAATGTAGGCGAAGAGAGAAAGGACAGACCAAACGGGCGGTGAACAAAAAGAATGTCTACTAATATCAGTGACCATTCTATAAATGGAAGGATTGCGGTGATAGTGAGAGCGCACATAGTAGCGAAGGCAATGGGCATCACAGCGATCAGACAAGGATGGAACATTCGCTTCTGCATAGAGGCTCTCAACAGGGAAAGAGTGAAAAGCACCAAGGCATAAACGTAATCCTTGGTGATGGATGGGGTTAAGGCTAGAGAGAGTAGCAGGAGAGGCTGCTGAATAGATCTGGTCACCATAATAGAGTTTTGATAAAATGAGGGCTGAATGTAGGCGAAGGAGAGTTAGACGATCAACTCCCCATGAAAGATGAGCAAGGGTTTTAAGAAGGTTCAGCCGGTTGTGACAAGTTGCCTTTAGAGGTAATGTAGGGTTTCCAGGATAACCTACGGTCAAAGAGAAGACCTAGAAACCTGACTATCACGTTCAGGGATAGGGGAGCCACAGAGGTACAAGGATGATCGGAGATGACAGAGCGTCTAGTGAAAGTAATTTGGAAAGTTTTGGTACTGGAAATTTTAAACCCATGCGTGGTGGCCCAATTGGAAACACGGTCGACCGCATGCTGGAGAGAAACTAATGAGGCGACAGTCAGTGCCCGCAAAAGCAATAGTGAAGTCATCTACATAGTGATGACCAAATATTAGATGGAAGAACAGAGGCCAAATCATTTATAGCAAGGAGAAAAAGTGTTGTGCTCAGAACACATCCCTGAGGGACACCTTCAGCTTGGACAAAGTCCATAGAGAGCACATTATTGACTCGAACACTGAAATGTCTGTCAGTTAAAAAGTTCATAAGGAAAGATGGTAGATTGCCTCGGAGGCCTAAGGAGTGAGCTTGGGCCAAAATATTATACCTCGAAGTTGTGTCATATGCCCTCTCAAGGTCAAAAAATATGGCAATAACTGAGTGGTTATTCGCAAAGGCATTACGAACATGCGTATCCAAACGTAGTAAGGGGTCTATGGTAGAACGGCCCTTACGAAAGTCATATTGATGAGTGGAGAGACTTGTGTTTCTAAATACCACATTAAACGTCTACTTACCAGACGTTCCATAACTTTGCAAACTGCACTGGTAAGAGCGATGTGACGATAGTGGGAGGCTTCATGTCCCGTAGTACCCGGTTTGCGGAAAGGGAGAACAATGGCAGATTTCCACAGCTGTGGAAGAACTCCTTGTGACCAAATAAGATTGAAAAGGCGTAAGAGAACTGCAAGGGTTGACTGGTG